TAATAATAATAATAATAATTTATTTATATCCCACCCCTCTGCAGAGCACTCGGGGCGGCGTGCAACATTAAAATTTCCATACAGGTATATTAATACAATCTAAACAGAACATAAAAATCCTGAATCCCACCCGTCCTTTAAGAAGTAAGGGTTCTTCTTCTTATTCTAGAGCCTAGTGTCTCTCCCCCAGATGACATCAGATGGAGTGGAGGGAGGTCTCTTCTTCTTATTCTAGGTCCGATGGTGCTCTGCCAATGATCTCAATACTCTGGGGAGCTCGTACAGGGAGATACAGTCCTTCAAATAGCCTGGACTCAAGGTGTATTGGGCTTTATAGGTCAAAACCAGCACTTTGAATGGTGCCCAGAAACAGACTGGTAGCCAGTGGAGCTGTTACAACAAGGGAGTTGTATGCGCCCTGTAACCAGCTCTGCTTAACAGCGTAGCTGCAGCTCTTTAGACCAGTTTAAATTTCTGAGCACTTTTCAAAGGCAGCCCCATGTAGAGTGCATTACAGTAATCCAGACAGCATGTAACCAAGGCATGTACCACCATGGCCAGATCTGACTTCTCCAGGAACAGGCACAGCTGGAGCACAAGTTTTAGCTGTGCAAAAGCACTCCTTGTCACCGCCAATACCTGGCCTTCCAAGCTCAGCACTGAATCCAGACGTACCCCCAAACTATGAACCTGGGTTTTCAGGGGGAGTGTAACCCCTTCTAACAGGCTGAATCCCTATTCCTGGATCTGTCCTTCAGCTGACCAGGAGCACCTCTGTCTTGCCTGGATTAAGCTTCAATTTGTTTGCCCTCATCCAGTTCATTACAGCAGCCAAACACCAGTTTAGGACAGAAACAGCTTCCTTGGAATTGGGTGGAAAGGAGTGGTAGAGCTGGATATCATCAATGTACAGGTGACACTTTACTCTAAAACTCTGGAAACTCTGGAAACCTCTCCCAGTGGTTTCATGTAGATGTTAAAAAGCATAGGGGACAGGAGTGAGCCCTGAGGGACCCACAGGCCAGTGGCCAAGGAGTCAAACAGGAATCCCCAGCACCACCTTTTGAGAATGCCCCTCCAAGAGAGAATGGAGCCACTGTAGAACAGTGCCTCCAAGCCCCATCCCAGAGTGGCGACTCAGAAGGATACCATGGTCGAGGGTAATGAAAGCTGCTGAGAGCTCCAGTAGAACTAACAAGGACACACTCCCTCTGACCAGTTCCCTGTGTAGGTCATCCACCAAGGTGACCAAAGCAGTTTCTATCCCATAGCCAGGTCTGAAACCAGATTGACATGGATCTAGATAATCCATCTCATCCAGGAACCCCTGGAGTTGAGAGGCCACCACACGCTCCAGCACCTTGCCCAAAAATGGAAGGGTGGAGACTGGCCTGTAATTATCTAAAATTGTTTAAACCCACAGCTACAATACTTAAAACCATGAAAATAGATTCATAAGAACACAGTAATGTGTTTATAGATGTGGTCCTGGACAGGAGGGGCAGGTTGCTGTTATTATGGATGTCTCTCTTGAAATAATAATAATAATAATAATAATAATAATAATAATAATAATTGTTTCTTACTCACCTCTCCTCATGGATTGAGGGGATGACAATTAACAAACAACATCAGTTAAAAAGATATCAGTTAAAATACACACCCATTTAAACAAGTTAAAACACACATCAAAGTGCTGGAAAGTTGTTGTCTATGGAGGCAAAATTTCCTCTCCAATCCTAGGCTGCCCTCCCATTCAAAACCATGAAAGCAACCAGAAATCCACCTCCGTTTTTGAAACATGGGCAATTTTTGGGAAAACAAAAAGAATGACCACAGAGGATCTTCACAAGTTCAACCTAGACAACGAGGATATAGAAATAGTTAAAGAGTTCAGTCCAGTCCCCTGCCATGCAGGAACTCAAAATCAAAGCATCCCCAACAGATGGCCATCCAGCCTCTGTTTAAAGACCTCCAAAGAAGGAGACTCCACCACTCTCCGAGGGAGCGTGTTTCCCTATCGAACAGCCCTTACTGTCAGGAATTGCCTCGTAATGTTGAGGTGGAATCTCTTTTCCTGTAGCTTGCATCCATTGTTCCAGGTCCTGTTCTCTGGAGCAGCAGAAAACAAGCTTGCTCCATTCTTAATATGACATCCCTTCAAATATTTAAACAGGGCTATCACATCACCTGTGGGAATAATCCAATTTGACAGTAACTTCCATGGCTCAATGCTATGGAATTCTGGGAATTGTAGTTTGTTGTGACACCAGAACTCTCTGACAGAGAAGGCTAACCCTCACAAAACTACAGTTTCCAGAATCCCATAGCATTGAGCCACTGCAGTGGTGTCAAATTAAATTATTTCTGTAGTGTGGATGCAGCCTAAGTTTGTCTATTTTTCCTCATCAATTACTTTTGCCTTCTTTGTTGCAACACTCTGATGTTGCTTGACCACACCTGTCCCAGTTTTCATCTGTAAAATGTTGGTGGGTATGCACTTCTGGGGATTTCAAGGAGAGGCAATTCACCCCCTTTATTTTAGCCATAGGGGGTCAAGAGGGGGTGAGGGCCCTAAAAATAGCCTTGGTGAGTGGTATATGTCCTAGAGCCTCACTTTACCTACCTAAGATCAATAGGCTTTTGTTTGTAGATTGTAATGATATATTTTCTGTTCTGTTGCATTTGTGGTGCTTTCTGTGGCAGAATACTAGAGCACTTTGCAAATATGATTGAATTAATCCTCTCAGTATCCCTGGAGAGAATGTACAATTACAAAGTAATTGTGGAGAGATACAATTACCTTTGTGGAACAGAGGAATTGCAAGATCCAGAGCAATCATCTGATTCAATGCTTCTTAAAATATCAAACTCGCACTTTTTAAATCCCAATTTGCCTGGTAACAATAGCATATTTTTGCCTATTGTCTACAATTATTTATTTCCTGGAAACTCTCCACAGACTGGCAGCTGATGGTTCATGGACTGCCACTGGTCTGTGGACCACCAATTTTAGTAGTATGATCAGATGAAAGGCATAGTATGGAGAAGGAAATACTTCACCTTTATGCTACTATGACTGCTTTTGCAATTCATTGAAAACAAACAGCATCTATAGAAGCTAAAACATGCAGCTTTGACCAAAAATAAGGTTAGTATTATTAGTGTGGAACTGCATAGGGATGGAGTTGGTGGAAAGGTCAAGAATTCTAGCAACACAGGAAATTTTCATAGACCAAAAATATGGATATTCTCCCAATAAAATTAATATATTCTCACAATAAAATACAGCAAGCTTATTTATAGCTATACCATCAGTCCTCCATATCCATGGATCTGCAGCTTGAAAATATTTAAAAAAAATATAAATTCCAAAAAGCAAACCTTGATTTTGCCATTTCAAATAAGGGACACCATGTTATTATGCCACTGTATTTAATGGAACTCTAGCATCCACGGATTTTGGTATCCATATGGGTCCTGGAACCATATATTGATTTGAGAGTTACTTCAATAGTGAGAAAATATCCCTCCATTATGAAGCACAATCAGTTTAGTTTATCCTCCTTTGCTCTGGAAGATTAATGTATTTTGAAGTAGAGAGCAATCTGGAAAAGACTCAGTTTATGTAACTACAGTACATTAAGAACCTAAGAGCTTGTTCATGGCACAGAAAAGCAAACGTTATTTCTGATATTAGTATGCCAACATTCCCTTGAGTTTATAGTGGCATACCTGGAATTATCTATTATTATTATTATTATTATTATTATTATTATTATTATTAATATCCCACCCTTTCCCCAAAACTGGGACTCAGGGCAGCTTACAATATTAAAAAACAATACAATTAAAAGCATAAAAAGGGTATATTAAAATAGAAACCTACAGAATCTATCTGTAGATTCCTATCACTACAGAAACTTTTCACTATTAGAAACCATAGGTCTGGGTTCAGGTGTAAAAAAAACAATGCTTTCTCATTATGAAAATAAGCTCTTGAATGTATTAACCTTACTGCTCTGTTCCCCTTTCCCTTCTTGTTTGAAAAGTTAGGGCTGATGCAGATGGTCCCTAAGCGGTGGCTCTGTGCCGCCCCTGGGAGTGGTGGATCGGGGCCACGGTAACCACACGCCATGCCCCCGATCTGGCTTTTTGCCGCTCCCTAAAGAGTTGGCAAATGCCGCTTCTTTTGGGGGCAGCAGAAAGCCGCCCTTAGGTGCCACACACTGTGCAGTCAGGATGTGGCATGACAGTGGTGTTGGGGCGGCCAGCGTGCGATCGCCTCACCTCAACTCCACCCTCAGGCCGGCCCTTTAGGCCGGTCTGCATCAGCCCTTAAAAAGAGTAAATGTGATGATACATTGAAGCCATCTCTAGGTGTTTATAGGTCCTCTAGTAGCATGATCAGTGTGTGGCACTTGTTGACCCTAGAGTTGCACTGGAGGACCTGGAGAGTCCTAGAGAGGTATTATCTTAGGTAAAAAGAATAGGTTTTTTTATTTGTGTTTTTCCCACATTCACGGGTGTCCTCCACCTCAAACCCCAGCAAATGTGGAGGGACCACTGTATTACAATTAAGAGTATTGATAACAGTAGTATGTGGTGGGAGGGAGTGTGCTAATTTCTAAAGACAGGAAGATGAGGTGGTTACTTCTTGGCATCTGAGAAACTTAGAGGGTAAAGGGTGTCCCTGGAGCTGGCAGCCCTGCCTG